GCCGCGCGCTGGCGGTGGGGGAGAAGCCATAGTACTGGTATGTGTCGCTCTTGCCCGGGTCCTCGCTGATGATGCCCAGATTCTGGTTCCAGTGGGACCAGTTCACCTCGTCCACCCTGCAGGGAAGGTCAGACCCAGAGGGGCTGCACGGAGGAGCCGGGGGACCGGGTGGCAGCTCCTGCATCCCTGCGCTATCCCACCATCGGCAATGCCACTTGGCTCCAGATTAGTACAAACTACCCAGCAAACGAATGCACGGTGCCGGCACCCAGGGGGAGAGGCTTGGCTGTTCCCGGCCCCTGGTTCCCAAGGGCACCTGCCTTTACCTGAAGCACCAGCGGCGGTCAGGCGTCCCATCAGTGCCCTTCCCCACGGTGACCATCTCCCCTGAGCGGAAGGCTCTCCGCAGGGATACAGGGAAGGAGCGCTCGATGTCCAGGATGGTGGTGGCCCACTGCCAGTGACACCAGGGATCCCTCAGCCACTTGGGGATGGAGGCATGGGGGGCCTTCACCCAGGTGGTGCTGCTTTGATGGAGCTTGGGGTGCTGCAGTGCAGCTCCCAGGGCGGTACCTGCAGCTTCCAGATGTGCTTGCTCTCCTTGGAGACTTGGCCCACAGTCTCACCCATGAGAGCGATGAGCATGTTGAGGAGGAGCACAAAGGTGAGGATGATGTAGGTGACAAGGAGGATGATGAAGACGACTGGGTACTTGGCGCTCTCGAGCATCTCCAGGTCGCCCATGCCGATGGTGAGCTTGAAGAGGTCGAGCAGGAAGGTGCTGAAGGTCTGGCTGTCCCGGCAGGAAGGGTAGGTGGGCACCGTGCAGTTGGACTGCTCCTCACTGCAGGACTCGCTGCTGGGACACGGGTTGAGGAGGGACACCAGAGCTGGGGGAGGAAGGACAGGGGTGGCGAGTCCACAGGGGCAGCGGCAAGGATGGGGCCCATAATGGGCCCCCATGTGGCTCTGCACCGGCTGAGCCCCTCTCCCTCTCCACCGCAGGGGGAGGCAACACAGGCGGGTAGGACGGAGCAGGGGGTCCACAGCCCCCTGCCCGGCCGTGCCATGCCATGCCACAGGGCTCATCCTCCCCCTGAGCCCCAGCTCACCGGCCAGGCACCTACCTGATGCGTAGCCGATCATGAAGAGCAAGTAGACCAGGAGGAAGCGGAAAAGGTCTTTGAAGAGGATCTGCAAGTGATGGAGAGGGGGGTGAGATGTGCTGGACCGCAGTGCCCAGCCATGTGCCGGGGCACCATTGCTGAGCCATGCCGCATGGACGGCCAGGCTGAGAACAGGGCATTGGTGAGCCACAAGAAACCCTAAAGAAAGCATGGAGGATCCTCCTTTTGGGTCAGACATCCATAGGAGGACCAGCCCTGCTGGGGAAGGACAAGACTCCTGACCCCACCGGACCTTCTGGATCATGATGCTGTAGGTCCCTGTCAGCTTGAGCCCCCGGGTGAAGTACAGTGCGTTCATCCAGCCCAGGACCAGCGCGAAGACCATGACGGCCAGGTACGCCTCGATGCCGCCCAGGTACAGCCCCGCCGTGACGATCACCAGCACCGAGTAGATGAAGCTGGAGGAGAGCTGGGGTCAGACCCTGCACCGACAGCCACCGCCGGCTACTGCCCCTTGCAAGCCCGGGGGTGCTGTGGCTCGGGGAGGCCCCGGGGGTTCCCCACATACTAGAGCAGCTGGAAGGAGCCGTCTATGAAGAAGGAGTTCACGCCTGGGCACTTCTTCATGAACAGATCTTTGATCTGGGGGAGAGAGGGAGAGGTTGGGGGGAGCTGGGGGGAGCAAGCCCCTGTGCGGCAGGGACTCGGTGTCCGGGGGGCATCATGGCAGGGGCTGATGCTGCAGGACATGGGGCTGTCGCCCTCGAGTTGCTCCTTGCGTGGAGATCACGAGGGCTCGTCTGTCCCATGGGAGGACCCCCCGCCTCGCTGCACTGACATTTGTGAAGAAGAAGAGGATGCCAGTGAGAAGGGTGATGATCTCCCCAGCCAGGCGCAGGTAGTCAGCGGTGGTGATGTACGGGTAGGGGGGCTGCGGGGAAAGGACAGAGCTGAGCTGCTCCACCATCCCAGGGCAGGCAGTGCTGCTTGGGGCAGAGACCCGGCAAACTCCCCTGCCAGGAGGCGCTGGCCCATGGGGCTGTGCCACGGTGCCGTGGGACTCACGGGGCCTTCCATGGGGCGGTAGTAGGCGACGAGGGTGAAGATGACCATGGCACAGAGGTAGGAGACCACGCTGATGTAGAAGGAGACGGCCCCAAACTTGCGCCACTTGTCACGCAGCAGCTCGTTGATGGGCTCCACGGCCAACATCTCATGGCGGTTCTGGTGGGATATGGGTGCCATCAGTGGGGACCCAGCCCTGTTGCCCACCCGGTCCCCCCCAGCCCCTGCGC